AATGAAAGAAATATGCGCCAATCAACTTTAGTTTTCTTAAGAAAAACACACTTAAAAAAATTTAATTAACTTAAATGATACAGAAACTATATATATATATAGTTTCTGTATCATTTAAGTTAATTAAAGTATATATATATATATAAACCATAAATATGCACTAAAATATTATATATAAATATTATATATATATATATATATATAAATACACACACATGCATGTATATTTAAGAAAAAAATATTATTTATATATAAAATATTTATATTTATAGATAATATAAATTATATATAAATCTATATACAGTATATACATGGAAATATTTCTTAAATATATACAAGCATGTGTGTGTATTTATATATATATATATATATATATATATATATATAATAATTATACACAGTGCACCCACATATATTATGTAAACACAAACTTTTGATGTGATTAATCGTTTGACAGCCCTAATATATATATATATATATATATATATATATAATATATAAATATTGTAATTTAAATGACACAGAGGCTAAATTGAAACAATAAATTTGCACTAAAATATAAATAAAAAAGCAATTAAATGATGGAAAATTACTAGTTTGATAAAAACATCTTTAAAAATATTTGAATTTAAGCTAAATTGGAACTATAAATATGCACTATAATAGGAATAACAATTCAATCCAAATAGAGAAAATGACTCGTTTTCATAATAAAACACAGTTAAAATATTTTTATTAAAGTGAAACAAAATATGCACTAAAATATGAATAAAAATTCAATTAAAATAGAGTAAATGACTAGTTTTCATAATAAAAAACACTTATACACAAATATTTTAATTAATTTAAATGACACAAAAGCTCTAAATATGCACTAATTATAGAGAAAATGACTTTAGTTTTCGTAATAAAAAATATTTTTAAATATTAAATATTTTAATTAATGACATGAAAGCTAAATTGAAACTATAAATATACACTAAAATGGGAATTAAATGCATTAAAGTATAGAGAAATATATAGAGTTGTCAACAAATTTATTCAAAAATAGTTAGATTTTTGGATGAAGCTCAATATGTGATGGTCTGAAGACTAACTAAAAGAATCAGCCAATTAATGATCTAAACCGAAACGAATTTCAGTATCCACAGGTAATGCTTCAGAGCTCTTGCATTCCTTTGCTGCTGTTGTTATTGAGTTAAACTGAGCTATAGTAACAAAGCGTGGAAGTTCAAGGCCCAGGGGGCTCAAAGAATAGTGTCCTGTGATGACAATGCCCTCTGTCCCGCAGCAAGCGAGGAAACCCTACGACGTGCGGGACGTGATCGAGCAGTATTCACAGGGACACCTGAACATGATGGTTCGGATCAAAGAGCTGCAGAGAAGGTGAGTCAACAGGAGCTCAAACAGTAGGAGAGCGATTGCGCTTGCAACGCCAAGGTCATGGGTTCGATTCCCAGGGAAAGCAAGAACTGATACGAATGTAAATGCAATTTAAGTCGCTTTGGATAAAAGCGTCTGCCAAATCAATAAATGTAAGATGTAAGATTCACATTTTTCTGATGTTTTCCTCTCGCAGGCTGGATCACACGTTGGGAAAACCGGGAATGTTCCTTCCAGGTAAAGGAAAACTGACTAGAAACACAGATTCAAAATGCATGAATAAATCACACCGAAGGGCTCACATGATCTATTATACTTGCTTTTTTTTTAAATAAAAGAGTTTAATGTAGCCTACCATGTAAAAACAGACAATTAATTGAAGCCAAACTGCAAAAAAAAATGGAAATTCAGAAACCATCGTGATTATGACATCACACCCGTCTTATTAACACCAATCATATATTTGCATATAATAAAATAGTTCAATATACAGCAACTTTGAACATCATTTGCACATATGTTAGCCAATCAGACCTCATTTACATATTTAATGATCTTTGATTGGCTAATAAAAATGACAAAATATGCAAATTAAGAAACCATGGTGATTATGACATCACTTCCATCTCATTACCATGCAACCTTCCATATTTACATGTAATTAAAAACTCAATATACAGCAACTTTATCCACTTTGAAGATAATTTACACAGTTAATTATGCAGGTATGCAGATGTTAACCAATCAGACGTCATTTACATATTGCAGTCTTAAAGACGCAGTAGCAAAAAAAGCCTGTTTGATTGTAAGTTTCAATCAAAAAAAAGGATGAAAAATAGCTGAAAAACTCTGCAATGAAGTGTAGAATATGATCCTTTTAAAGTAATATGTAAGTTATATGTAAAATGTACTGCTGTTTCCAGTGTAGAAACCTTTTACATGAGCGAGTGTTTCAATAAAACTCTAACATGAGCTTCTGACAAACTGTTTTTCTTGTGTGTTTCGAAATGAATCATTTCTGACTGCCGTATTATTTGCCTGTGTTGTGTTTCCAGAGAAAGGTGTGGACAAGGAGTATTATACGGTGGGAGCCCGGCTGATCCGACTGGAAGATAAGGTACGATCCCTGAAGAAGACGTGTGCATTATATTTAAGTGCTGATATTTCACACATCATGAACCTCGATAAGCCTCGATTAACTCGTTCTGTTTCACTGACGGTATCGTGTAGTTTTGATCTCAGACTCGGGTGTGTGTTGTTCTCGTAGAGGAAGCCGGTCTGTGATTGTGAGATTTTTTCAGCGTATCTGATGATGGAGTCGTCTAAATAAACCCAGACAGTGTGTGTGTGTGTGTGTGTGATGGGCAGGTGTAAGGGGACAGAATATACAGATTGTAAAACCATTACGTCTGTAGAGAGTCCCCACAAAGATAGCGAATCAGACATGTGTGTATCTGTCTCTGTGAGTATCTCTGTGTCAGTGTTGTGTGTGTGTGTGTGTGTGTGTGTTGTCAAGACACATACAGTATTTAGATTGAATCATGGCGCCGTTTCTAGGTGTGTCTGCACTTCCCGTCTGGCTCTTCCTTCGAGCACCTGTGATGAATCTCAGTCACCTCTGAAAGATTCATACCTTCCTTACGCTTACGACAGCCCTCAAGCGATCTGAACAGTTTGAGTGGCACATTTCAGCTGTTACGGCAGCATGTGTATTTCACATGTAAATAGGCATTAAAGGAGTAGTTCACTTTTAAAAAAACTTTTGCTGATAATTTACTCGCCCCCATGTCATCCAAGATGTCCATGACTTTCTTTCTTCAGTCGAAAAAAAAGAAATTAAGATTTTTGATTAAAACATTCCAGGATTTTCTGCATATAATGGACTTCAATGGGGACCAAACGGTTCAAGGTCCAAAAGACAGTTTCAGTGCAGCTTCAAATGTCTTTAAACGACACCAGACGATGAATAAGGGTCTTATCATGTGAAACGATCAGTTATTAAAAATGTAACTTTTCTAAGGACAAATGCTATTCTGTGAGGCGCGTTTGTAACGTCACGTAATACGTAATTGCGTTCAAAAGGTCACGGGCGACGTAGCCGGAAGTACAGAGTCAGTGTTTACAAGTTGAACGCATAGGTTGAACGTGCAAACTAACTCAAACGCCGTTTACAAAAAAGGAATTAAAAGGTAAAACAACGATGTCGGACGATTTTGATTCTGTACTTCCGGCTACGTCGCCCGTGACCTTTTGAACACAATTACGTATTACGTGACGTTACAAACGCACCTCACAGAGTAGCATTTGTCCTTAGAAAAGTTACATTTTTAATAACCGATTGTTTCGCATGATAAGACCCTTATTCATCATGTGGTGTCGTTTAAAGACATTTGAAGCTGCACTGAAACTGTCTTTTGGACCTTGAACCGTTTGGACCCCATTGAAGTCCATTATATGGAGAAAAATCCTGGAATGTTTTCATCAAAAACCTTAATTTCTTTTCGACTGAGGAAAGAAAGACATGGACATCTTGGATGACATGGGGGTGAGTAAACTATCAGCAAAAGTTTTTTCAAAAGTGAACTACTCCTTTAATATAGACTTCTTAAAGGCACAGCAGCAGAAACTGCCCGTCATGATGAAATTAAGTATATGTTTTTTTTTTTGCTGTGGCTCAGTTTGGTGAAGTTGTAAAGACGAACGCCGCTGTGATGTTTAGACTGTAAAAGACGCACAACTAGAGCGAGCGAGAGGAAAACTTGTCGTGACAAGGTGATGGTGGTTTCATTCGGTCGATTCATGCCTGAGGGCAACAGGTGGGTGAACTGAATGACCCACACACACACACATAAACGCAGACATCTGATCATACGTGCTTCGTCATTTGGCTGGAGCAGTAAACACAAGACATTACAGCAAACATAGTATCTCACATGTCTCTGCTGCTTTAGATGCACATCAGCTACTAAATCATTTGTCTCTTCGAACGTTTCGAGGCGTCTCGCTCGACCGGCAGCTCGTGAGGAAGGAGTTTTGCTCCGGCCGACATTGATTTATTCTCCTTGACAAAGACACACATCGCAACAAACGGCCCGTCTCCTCCTCCCCTCGTGAAGATGAATGAGGACCGGGACGTGGCGTGTTGTCTCTCTGTCCCACTGAAACATGTTCGGGGAATAACGAGAGCTTGACGTCTCCAGGAATTGGCTTTTCAATAAACTTAAAGGAGTAGTTCACTTTTAAAAAAACTTTTGCTGATAATTTACTCGCCCCCGTGTCATCCAAGATGTCCACGTCTTTCTTTCTTCAGTCGAAAAGAAATGAAGGTTTTTGATGAAAACATTCCAGGATTTTCTCCATATAATGGACTTCAATGGGGACCAAACGGCTCAAGGTCGAAAAGACACTTTCAAACTGCAAACTGTTCAAATGGCTTTAAATGACACCAGACGATGAATAAGGGTCTTATCAAGCAAAACGATCGCTCATTTAATAAATAAATTAAAAAGTTTAAGTTTTATAAGCTCAAACGCTCGCCTTGCTCTGTTCTGTAACGCACTCCTGTTCGAACTCGTTCAACAAAATGAACAAATCTTATTCCGAGTCATTTGGTTCATTCGGTGAAAGAAACGAACGAATTGATTCGAAAAAAGATTTGTTAATTTTGTTGAACGAGTTCGAACAGGAGTGCGTTACAGAACAGAGCAAGGTGAGCGTTTGAGCTTATAAAACTTAAACTTTGTTATTTAAAAAAAAAAAAATGAGCGATCGTTTCGCTTGATAAGACCCTTATTTATCGTCTTGAATCGTTTAAAGCCCTTTGAACAAGTTTGTAGTTTGTACTGAAAGTTTCTTTTGGACCGTTTGGACCCCATTGAAGTCCATTATATGGAGAAAATCCTGAAACGTTTTTATTATGCAACCTTCCATATTTGCATATCATGAAAAGCTCAATATACAGCAGCTTTATCCACTTTGATGAGATACGATTGCGCAGATGTTAGCCAATCAGAGGTCGTTTAAATATTCAATGACCTCTGATTGGCTAATCAAAATGACAATTTCAAAATGAGAAACATCTGAGGAGTAGAAGGCTTCAGCAAGATTAGGCGGTTTGTGTGTTTTTTCTGGTAAATCAAAACGTGTCAAACCAGTTTCTGCTTTCTTGTAAATGCACAAAGAACTTAATCTGCCTTTTCCTCGTTCTGAATCGTGACTTTTCGTGAAGCTGTTTGTGAACGCTGTCGCTGAATCTGAAAGGCATTAGCGAGAGCTGATATAGAGCTGTGTTTAGGCTACAGTCCTGACCCAGACGGCATAAACACACATGTAGCTCACACAAACACACTCGCACATGTTTACGCATGTACTGTATACATTTGATGGCTCTCACACACATAAACATACTCACACACACGTGGCTTCTGCTCGAGTCTCGGACGTCCCACTGAAACACAGTACAACTAAAACAAATGTCTATCTATCTATCTATCTATCTATCTATCTATCTATCTATCTATCTATCTATCTATCTATCTATCTATCTATCTATCTATCTATCTATCTATCTATCTATCTGTCTGTCTGTCTGTCTGTCTGTCTGTCTGTCTGTCTGTCTGTCTGTCTGTCTATATATCTGTCTATCTATCTCTCTGTTTGTCTATTGGTCCATCTATCTGTCTGTCTGTCTGTCTGTATGGTTATCTATCTATCTATCTATCTATCTATCTATCTATCTATCTATCTATCTATCTATCTATCTATCTATCTATCTATCTGTCTGTCTGTCTGTCTGTCTGTCTGTCTGTCTGTCTGTCTATCTATCTATCTATCTATCTGTCTATCTATATATCTATATATCTATATATATCTGTCTGTATGTCTGTAAACTTTCAAACTTTTTTTAAAAAAAACTTTGAAACAAGGTTTTGTCAAGTCCAATGTTTTGAATCTATTATTCAGAACTATATGTCACTCATTTTGAAGTCATTATCCATGCTTTTACGAACAAAGTACATCCCATACCTGTTAGCTCCAGTCCTTTAATTTACTGCACTAGCAGCAATCCACGAGAACATTTCCCTGGGTCTGTGTTCGCTACAAACAATCCCAGAATTCCTGGATTCTTTTGGAACTATTTTTATTGGCAGAGAAAAAGTAAACAAAATCGCCGACCATTGTGTCTGAAAGTTATGTGACAAAAAGGCCTGATGTACACTCAGCCGTTATTATTGTTAAATAAACCAGGACAGACGTGGAGTCCTCAAACCAGACGGTTGGATGTAAAAACCCACAGACAGACGCTGATGTCCAAACGAGAGCTAAATGTGTCCTCAGACGGGTGTGGTTTCATTGGCCGAGGTGAGAGGCGCCTCACTGCAGGACAGGGGTTGATGTCTCTGGGGTGAGGGTGCGGTCCGGCCCGGGACGCTCAGGTAAGACCATGACTGAAGAGCTTTTTGGAGAGCGTACGCCCAGAGGTAATCTGACACGTCCCGTCCAAACAAACCATCCTTCATGCAGCGCTTAAGTGCCAGCCGTGCAACACAATGGAAGGAAATGGTAATAAAAAGCCAATTGGGAATTGCAATGACCAAACTCTATTAGTCAAGTCAAGTCACCTTCATTTATACGGCGCTTTTACCAATATAGACCGTTTCAAAGCAGCTTTACCGTGATGACAGGAGATTACAGTAACAGAGAGAGTTTAGGCTTTACAGCAGCTCTACAATAAAGTTATAGTTCAGCTAAAGTTAGTCACTTCTGTTGCAAAGATCAGTAGTTATTAAAGGGTTAGTTCCCCCATATCATTAATGACTCACCCTCATGTCGTCCCAAAACCTCCGTTAATCTTCAGAACACAGTTTAAGATATTTTAGATTTAGTCCGAGAGCTTTCTGTCCACAATGTAAAAAATAACCGTGATTTTAACGGTAAAATACTGTAAAAATGCTACAGTGCAAAACTGTTAATTGGTAAACAGAAAGTTTCCGTACTATAAACGGTAAATAACTGTGATATAATTTGTTAAATTTACAGTTTTTGAAAGTGAAAAAGAACAAATCATTGTATAATTTACAGTGAAAAACCGTAAATTGACATTCCCACAATTCCCTG